GCGCAGGGTCCCGGGGGGAGGCGGGTGCAGCGCGGGGCGCCGGGCGCGGGAGCGCAGCGGGGCGGCGGCGCGCGGGGCTCTGCGGAGCCCTTCGGGGGGAGAATSGCAGCCCCCTCGGTTGCCCTGTCATGTTACTGCCGCCAAACCTGTTTTTTGTTTATGTTTTTTCATATACACCTCTTCCGTGCGAGTGGCATCTTTGAGATAGTTGCAGTAGTTTATATGTTTTGCTTTAAAAAATGTTACCCTAAAAATATTTTTTCCTTAAAAGTTAACTCCTGTTTTGCTGTTTTGTAAGACTGCAAACCAACAAATACATCCAAGCACTTTTCTGTTTTAAAAGTAGCAATCCTATTCCTAATGTGTGCCTTATGGTATATTGATTTGGGACATGATTTGCAGTCAGTAGATCCAAGAAAAAAACACACTGAAGATCAGTGAGAGCGTTTTTGGCAGTTATTAATCTTTACTCTTTACCAGATCCTGGCCTTTAGACAGAGAAAGATACAACCAAGTAAATTACTTCTATATAAAATTGAGAAACTGTTTTGTCAGTTCTGCCACTCATCCCTTATTTGAGTGCCTCTTTTTCCACTATGGTTGGAAGTCCTCATGGATCCTGATCTGCTCCGTAATGCTGGCCTTGCCCAAGAGCAGGTGGAAAATCCTTTCTCAGCTCCYTTCTTGACCTCAGCTCCCCTGTCCCTYTGAAGAGGAKCCTCCACCAGCAGCTGCTATTATSCATTCAGATAAGGGATAAGTCCCATTGTGGCAAAGTAACCTGACTTCCAATTTATTCTTATTACATGTCTTTAATCTACYTAAAATCTCTAWTGTACCTCCCATGATAGGCAGAGCAGGTAGATAAGCTTGCCATGTCAGCTTGCCTTCTTAACAAATTCACGTGTCAGACTCTGTTTTCTGTTGCATTTTATTCTGCCAAGATTGATGCATTGGTCTGAAAATTGCAGGTGTTGGACTCAACAAAATTCATTTGTAGCATTTCAGCCCAAAGGATGCTAGCAGTTTTGAAACAGAAAAWTTGAAATAACTTCTAATATTGTCATTTTCTTACTTTGGACAAGAAAACATTTAAATTGACAGTAATAGCCCTGGAAATATGAGCTTCTTCTAAAGAAAAATATATGAAGAGCTGTGTGATACTTAAAAGCATTGTGCATAGTAATAATAAGTGTATAATCTGATCTCTGCCAGGATTTATAACCCTATTACACTGAGTACAGTCTGCTATTTTAGAGCTCTATCAAATGTTTTAATTAAACCGTGTAGGAAAAGAAAATAAAGACTTGTCTCTTGTCTAACTTGATTTATTAACAGAAAAGGTAACAGATACTAATTGTTCCAGGAGTGATTCAGTTACAGAGGGGGCAGGGGGTGCTATATGAAAGGAAGAATTTCAGTGAAAAATAGAAGACAGGAAGAAACTTTCACCATGGTTCATAAACTGCTCATGCTGAAGCTTGCTTGGAAAACACTGCACTAACACCCAGGTCTGACCTTTGGCTCTGCAAGAGCCTTTCTTCAGACTCCCATGAGGGAAACATTCCCGCTGAGGTCAAYGTGTGTGGACACAAATGGCCTACGGGCTGCTCCAAGCAACTCCAGAGCCCAGCGGTGGTGTGGGCAATCCCACTGCCCTCCATCTGTGCTTTGGGGTGAAGATAAAGCTGTTACCTGCTTGGGTTGCCTAGAGCYGTATGGGACCAAGTGTTAGGACAAGCCCACACGGTCTTTCAAAGACCTAGTTAGCTTGAAAGAGATGAACTTTGTTGTTCTGCTAATGCTCCTTTTCCGTTTAAAGGAGGGATTTTACCTGATTTTGAGATAATCTTGCAGTTACGGCTGTTAGGACAATGATATGTAAGAATTGAGTAGATGTCACATTATTAGCTTGAAAGAGATGAACTTTGTTGTTCTGCTAATGCTCCTTCTCCGTTTAAAGGAGGGATTTTACCTGATTTTGAGATAATCTTGCAGTTACGGGCTGTTAGGACAATGATATGTAGGAATTGAGTAGATGTCACATTATTATGGTATTTTAACCAAAACAGTGACATTGTAACAGCAACTAGCAACATATTTGCCCTGTGTAACTATTAACAATTAAAAAAAAAAAAAAAAAGAATCATAATTTAGGATTATATCAGATTATAATGCCTTTTTTATGCTTAAGAAATTAGTTAGTGTCATGGTGRAGGCAAGAATTAAAGTTTGCTGTGACATTCAGTGTACCATGAAATTCCATTTATAGTATTATGGAATCCTTATATGCATTTTTAAAAATCAGACATGAACCCAAACACAGACACACACAGAACACACATACTTACTTATTTGCATGCATCCTACTACTTTGAATCCAACTGTTACTTCCTAAGCACATTTTTGACAAAATTAATTACATTTGACACTGCCTGCAAATATTTCACTAGCCAGGACTCTGGCTCTCTTTAACAGCATCAGTCATATCAGTTTATTCAGATTAGTCTTGGATTCTGGTGTTCTGCTCTGTTGCTAAATGAGTTATTTATTTTTTATTTACTTACAGCCATCATTAAGGCTTTCTCCAGAGTCAGATCAGTGATCTGTTCTCAGTTTTGTGATTTTTGAAACTGTGAAGGCTACTTTGATACCCAAAAATGCTTTTGTGCCAGTTGTATTTACACTATTTATTTACTACAGTTATGCGTGTCATGAGAGCATTAACATATTTAGTTCTTTGTGTAAMTAAGAAAGACTTCAATATTTTTTTAAGTAAAAGAGTTCACATATAATCCTGCAATACCTTCAAGTTTTCCAGTAAGAAATATTTTAGAACTCTTCTAACATGTTTGTTGATACTCTTATTTTACAGTTCCCGAATGTTATCCTGGTGGGCATCAGATCTTGAAGAGCCCTTATCGAAGTGTGGATTTTGATTCATCTCACCTGCAGCAATCGGCTATTCAGGATTTGATATGTGACCATTCCCTAGCTCCAGGGTGGTACCGTTTTATGATTTTTGATAAGCCTGCTGAGATGCCAACCAAATGTGTCGAGGTAGTGTTGCACTTTATTTGTTTATGATAAATAATAGTTACTTTTTCTTACGAAATCCTCAGCAAGGTAGGTATAACAAAATTAATTATGGAGATTACATGTAGAGTGCAAGCCATCTTTGTAGATACAAAACTACTAAAAGCATTCACAGTAAAATCTTAAAAGTTATGGCTGAAAAAAATTAAGTTGAATGGGCTAGAACAGAGAATAATAAATTGGTTTCTTTTAGACCACTGAAAAATCACCATTTCTAGTCACTGCTAAAGACAGTTTTTCTCAGTGCTAGCATAGGAGCAATGGTCACAAATAAAACCCACAACTGTATGATGTCAATTAGTCCTTTTCTAAGTACATATAAAAGCAGCTTAGGGACTTTTAGCCACATGATGCCAATAATTGTGGAGCTTTCAGAGTGGTCATGTAAGACAGAGGGGATTAATCCTAAAATGACTTGAACTCACAAAGCTGACTTGAAGATTAGTTTTCTTGTCACTTGTAAATCCCCTAGGACACAAAAATTATTTGGAATATTTAATTTCTTTAATTTGTAATGCTTGATTTTTAGAGCTTCTTCAACAGCTCTGTAATAGCTATATTTTAAGGAGATATTTCTTAGTAATTTCCTATTTGAAAACGTTTTCTTAATTAAAAAAAGAATATTTGACTTTTGTATTTTGTTTCATTAATTAGAAAAAGCATTTAACAGAAACACAGAACAGCTAAAGGATAGCAGGAAAAATTTGTGGAGCTTAAAGCAGCCTCCTCCCCCTGTTTTAATCTCTAAAGCAGTATAAGGCACTGAAGTACACAGGTAAATTCTATCTTTAACTTGCAGGCAGGTCATGGCTTAGGGGGTGCAGTCCCTGAGGCAAGGAAAGGGCATGGGAAGCTCAACCTGGAGCTTGGGGGAACTTCGAGCTTTCTGCTCAGGTCCTGGTGCTTTCTGGACCAGCAAGTAATGGGGCATTTTACCACCCGACCTCCTTGAGAAGGCTGAGGTGCTGCACAGGCAACTTGCTCTGTGGTAGCTACAGGGTTGCACAGCTCTTCAAGTCCTGTTATTCAGGCTGTTATGCTCCAAAAATCAATAGAGTACAGTGTATTTCCTAAAGGACTTTCAATGAGGTTTAATGCAGATCAACTACTTTTTTTCTGCCATCACGGAGTGGATATTCTCTATGCAAAGAACCAGTAAGGTCAACTAGGGAATAATGTGACTTTTTCACCAGATATTTTCCAGAACACAGTTTAGACTAATGACCTATCCAGATCATCCAGGAGAGTTTTAAAAATCTGTTGTGAGTGCTAAACATTTATTAACTTTCCTTGATAAAGCTGGTCCACCATCCCAATGGAGAAGACTCTAGACAACGTAGCTGGAAAGATGGAGCAGCCTAATTCAGCATTAACTATTTTTTGATATTTTCCTTGGGTGCTTCAGGTGAACCACTGTGGTACCCAGGCTCCTGTGTGGCTGTCCCTGCGGGAGGCAGAATCCCTGCCTCGGCCTGGTGAGATGAAGCAGTTAACAGCGTGTGCCACGTGGCAGTTCTTCTTCAGCACTTCCAGGGACTGCTGCCTTTTCCGAATCCCTGTCAGYGTGAGAAACTGTGGAGATTTCTTTGTTTACCTGCTGCAACCCACCCAAGGCTGCATGGGCTATTGCGCTGAAGGTGAGAAAATGGGAGCTCTAACTTGGGGAGCTGTCCATGTTCATTAATGGTTGTTTTCAGATATTCTTGCATACAAATSTTCCTTAAAAGAAGTCTATTGCATTCCCAATAGGTACTCTCTGATTGCTCATTTTTAAAGTTATTCAGAACTAGTTAAAAGCAATAAAATCATAAAATATACAAAAAAATTAAACACTTTTAAGTTACATTTTTAAGACATTTTGTTGAACATAAACATTTCAAGATAGCTGTATGTATCGAAAGCTTCTGTAAATGCAACTTATAATATTGATGCTGACAGTCTCTGTGAATATTCATTAGTGAGATATAAAGAATCTTAGACACCTTGGAAAGGTGATTTTTCGAAATAGTTCTGCACTGWACTTGATTGTCTTGGGTTGCAGTGAGTATTCACTCAGATGTGGATTTCAGGAAGACAAAACTCCTAATGAAGATAATATTTTTAATTCCTTTTTACTCACTAGGAAAAGTGTCTAGGTTTCTCCTGGGCAGACCTCTATTAAAAGATGTAGAGATGGTAAGATGCTCTGTATCCATTCTCTTAAATAGCTATCACAGCTAMCTTGTGATTTCCAATTTAAGGTTTTGTACTGATTCCTATTACAATTATATCAGAATCAGATTACAAGATTTTTTTTTTTTGGTACTTTTTAATAATTTGCACTTTTATTATCGCTTTGTGATATTTAGAATATTTTTAATGTGGAATAGTATTTTAGGAGCCTTGGTATGTAATTAATCGGTATACCTATGAATATATCACTTGAAAATATTATACAGTTGGTGAATATGCAAAACCACAGATTTGTGATCTCAGAGAAGTAGCAATTCAAAGTGTCTGTAGCATTGTTTTCTTCTGTGTTTTCCCCTCCCCTCTGTGCCCACCCCCCCCCACCTCCCCCCCAGAATTTGCATGGATTTTCATCCAAGACTAAATGACTTCAACATTTAGTCATATCTTGTCTTGAATAAAAATGTGCATGTTATCTTCAATATTGCTTGAATTTCTGCAGGATGAGCAGTTTAGAAATACTACCTGATCTGTAGTTTCTGAACATAATGCTCAGAATGAATGTTAAAATGTAATTTTAATAATACTGATTTATTGATTACAGTAAATTTGCAGATTGATTTTATATTTCACTCTGAAAGAATCAACTCTTATCCTTTCCCATGTAAATGGAGAAGATACTCTTCTTTCACATAAATTCCTTTGCACTTTGCTCTCTCCTCTCTGGTAAGATGATTCACTGCATTTTATTCCCTCATTATTTTTCCCCCCTCTTCAGCACCTTCCTGTGGGCTAAAACACAATCACACATTGATATAGAGATTTTTCTCATGTTAATAATTAATAGAAGGAAAATACACTTTTTCATTGTTTCTCTTAACAATTAATTAAACAATTCTCAATTGTTCTCTTAACAATTAAATAAAAATTGCATATATAGTAGAAGTAAATATTATTAGTTTATTAAGTGATAGACTACATGTCAATGTTGYTTCATCCAGAAATATTTTTACATGGACTAAGAAGCACAAACTAYACTTTTGTTCCACTAGGTAGGCTGGCTCCTTCATCACCCACATCTGTGTCACCACCATCACCAGCTACCCCTGAAGTTACAGCAGAGTTGATCAAAGGCAGCATATACCTGAGATGCACCTTTGGCTTTCCTTTTGCAAACAGCTCCGTTGGATTTATTGTGGCTTGGTCCAGACTTTCTCCTGAGGGCGTCAAAGAGGAATTGAAACGTGAGACAGCAGTTCATACATTCTCACTTTTAGAACTAGATGGCATAAACCTCAAACTTGGAGACCGAGTATGTTAAAAATATTTCCCTTTGTATCTTTGTAAATATGCTCTTTTTTCTCCATAGGAATTTTACCTGTTGACATATGAGTTAATAATCCTGYGTAGATATTAGCAGTTGTTAGACGCGGGGTTCCTTAAGCTTTTTTGACAGAAATGTTGCCCCCGGGTATTATTTGCAGCAACGGTGCCCATGCAAGTATGGAAATATCACAGAACCTATCAGTAGTTACCACCACCATTAAAGTTTTAAGACGCAGTCTCAGTACAGTGTAGTGTGCCTCCATTCGATAAATGTTTGTTCAAGTTACATTATCTTCACCTGTGATTTTGTTTGGTACTGTAAATTAAGAAGATTAGGATGCAATTATACTTAAGCGAGAGCTCATAAAAGCTAGGTATTTTAAGGCACTGTATYGAGTAAATAACTGTCCATAGTGAACTACTGATTGACCATGTTGGTCAGAGGTTTAAGTTCTCTTGAATAATATTTAAATGGTTTAACCTCTGCCATTAAAACAACAAGAGTAATTCCATTAACTTAATTAGTAGCAGACTTAAGATCTAGGATCATGTGATAACTCTGAGAAGCTTATGCACCGGAAAACCCACAGGCTTTCTACCTGTATATTACCAACATGCAGCAGGTTAATATTTCCTGCCCCCTCCCTCCAAGTAATTTTATTTGTGTTATCCTGTTTTCTACTGTTTTTCTAAGTTGTTTTATCTTGATAATGCACTGAGGATCAGGTCAAAGGCAGGCTGCTTGGATGAATTGCAGACAACAGTAGTACCTACTAGTCCTCAAAAATACTTAGGAGCATTTGTGAGTGGTTGTGACAATGTTAGCTCAGCGTCAGAAAGAAGGAATGGAGATTGAAGTCATGAACTACGTTCTGCTGATATAAATTCTTGATAAAAATCTCCAATATGACAAGTCTCATCAAAGTATCTYAGAAAGGATATAGCCAAAGAAATAGAAAAAAAAAAAAGAATGGCTAGTTGCATGTGACTGGCTCAGTGTGAGGGGAGAATACAGTAAACTTGCTCAGCTTAAAGAAGAGATCATCCAAGACCATAGTACCAGGTAAAGGTATAGTAAAAAGAGGAGGAGTAGGGCTGGTTGTTTTGTATAATCTAAGAACTAAAAGGTACCCAAAAGCAATAAAAGGCAACAAACATTATACACTTTTGTGTGTTTTTAAATTAAAGAATAGAAGACAATTCCTGAATATGTTAGGGCCCAGAAGTGGTTCAGAAGAGACTAGGAAGATCCATGGAAACATGGGTGCTCGCAAGACACATTGATCTATATCCAGCCTTGTTCAAGAAGGTTCTGAAGCACTGACAGAGTATCCCAAGTATGCAAAAAGTTCTATTTCTTGATCCGTTTCTGTATTTTCCTTAGGCAAGGCCATAGGCAATTGCTAACTTCTGGTGAAGACTGGGCTTGATGAATCTCTTAGGCTCATCTATTGTATCTGGGTTTTGTATTCACATAAGGACACCAAAAGTAGAATCTATTGTGTTGTTTCTGTCCCGCAGGTTTACTGTAGCAGTTCTACTTTTCTCTTGGAGAAACCAGATATACAAAGCTCTCCTGTTGAGAGTGAGGAGTTTTTTGCTGGCATAAAGGTAATTTGAAAAGAAAGCAATGTCTTTATTATAGCAGGAATCTTTCTGATATTACTGCAGCTAATGTGTGACATTAATGCATTTTTTTCCTGTGGGCACATTAAAATATCAGTAAACAGTATTTGAGCATTTTTTGTAATTATTCTGTGCTTCACAGTGATAAGATTTGGCAGGATGATGAATGGAAGTAGGTTGAGATCAGTCAAAACACCTGCAGAAAGCAGGTGGGTCCCTGACTAGAAGGCACTCGAGATGCATGTATGCTCTATGCATTCAGAGTACACTTGGCTGTGGTGAGCTTAGATTTGCCAAATGTTGATGGCATCAGAAGTATTTCTGTGTTTCCCCCATCCCCAAGGTGCAGGAGGATGGTCATCAGCTCACACAAATTGTAACAGCCCAGTGAAAGCCCTGGCCTCCAGAAGCTGGTCTAGACCTATCTAAAGTAGAGGGCCATGGCTCAGACTCAGGCCCTCAGTAGATTTAACAGTATCTACCTTTTTGCCATGATTTTGGTCCATGAAACACTTGGGTGTGGATCAGAGGATTGCTTGGCCAGGTAGTGTTCCCAGCTCACTGTGGGGATGAGGGAAGGCTGCAGCCAACCTGTTTTGAGGTTAGACAGTGGGATTGGGGAAAGTTTAATCGTGTAGGCATAGACTTGGCCTGCTATTTGATCAGAGAACAGGTTCAAACTCATTTTAGTTCCTACTGTGCATGTAGCTCAGCTGCCCATCCTCATAAGCCTCATCAGTGGGCTGTGCACCAAGGCACTGTGCTTCATTCCTGGTGTGTTCACTCTTGCAGGTTAGTAAGCAGTATCCCCCAGGTCACTCCCCCCAGTTTCTATTTTAAGTATGATTTCTCCYGTGCTAGGTATATCCAGAAGTTTATAGTATATCAGAGGATGGAAAGGAATACAGACTGGCAATAGAAAGTAGAATTCCTATTCCTTGTCCTGAATTTGGACAACTTGAAAATGATTGTAAAATCTCACTGACATTAAATACTGTTGACCAAGGTAAGTATTATCCTGTATTTTATTACATTTTATACTTTTAGTATGTTTCTGTAAATATTCTCTTCAGTCTTCTTCTTTGGAAATGCCGGCACATTATGAAATATGTAATAAAATTAGCACAAAATATTCACAAACTGAGCATACATCCAACATTACTCAACAATATGTACATACTTTCAGTACCTGAAATTAGTAGCTGTTTTTGGCAGCTATGGATTAGCAGAGCCATTTTTTGTTAATTTTTGTTAACACAGAAAAAAATCTTTCCCATTTGCAAATAATATAATATTTATATTGACAGAATTACCAAATTGTGACTTGTTTAGAAGAAAACTCACAAATTATTTGTTTTTATTAAAACAGGTAAAGAASAGTTAGGTTTAAACTTGGCCCTTTCTTCTTGTCATGTGGATCTTCTCCAGAAACCCTGCAATAATGGAATTTGTAGTCAAGCTGTAAATTATTTCACTGCTGTAACAGACTTTATGCAGGATGGAGACAGGATTACCAGGATTGTGGTGGAACCTATATCCAGTGATAATTTCCTGTGGAATGGCTATGCTCCAGAAAGCATTCAGGTTGGAAATCCTCTAACTCTATAAAACCAACTGACCAAAAACGTGGATGATGTAAATGAAGTTCCAATTTCATGTGTGTCATACTGAGCCACASCAAAATTCCTGGAGTGTTTAATATCATTTGATTTTTTTTTTCATTCACATCCTGCACTTCTATTTGAATTAAGTTAAAAAAAAATGTAACATACTGATTGTAAAGTAAACTAGTATGTCAAGATAAGTAGTTTGCTTGAGTATGCTTATTCTTAACCTGGCTTGACTTATTCCATCTTTCTTTGTTTTAAAGATCACCRTTAAGGATCTACCTACTGCTTACTGCTACTCATTTACTGACCCTCATATAATTACATTTGATGGAAGGTAATAGCTAGATTACTGCTCTTCATATTAAGTGATTTCATATCGTGCTATCTAGCCTAATGATACAGTTTAACTATACTTTTCCATAGCTGCCTTCTGGATTTTATACTCTTTCCTGGACAGTAAGGGTAAATATTCTTTGATTAGCAAAAGCTACTCATGCCACTGATGATGACTGCAATATTTGTGTTTCCAAATGCGGGTTTTGGGTTGTGCCAAAGGACTAAAAATAAATGGAGTATTTTTCTCTTTCAGGGAGTGTGCAAGGGAGGTACARTGGCCGTAGAGTCTATGGGAGACAAAAGATAGAAATGTGTTTTATGTATGACAACTGGTGAAATGATTGAATATGTAAAGCAATTTTAATTCAAAAGAGTATCCAATCTACAGCATATTTTCTCTCACCTTAGGAGTAAGAAGCAAATCAAGTCACTAGAAAATAGCTGTTGTCTGCATGACTTTGTGCAGAGCTTGGCCATGGATTTAAATGTTACTTATTCATTGCAGTCCCATGTACATTACCAAAATTTCTTTCCAAAAAGAAGACATTTCTTCAAGTGACAGGGCAAGGGAAAGAGGATGCATTGCCCCCAAATAAAGGTGTGAAGCCCACAAACTGGATCTTCTTGTGAGCCTGATAAAGGAAGAGAAAAGGGAGATTTTAATGGCTGCTCTGATGGCACTGCAACTGCTAGTCGTGACATTCACAGTGATTATATTCCTTTTGCTCCGTCAGTGGGAATTACAGGGATGGCTCCATAGGACCATTGCTGTATTACCACCAAGCCTCCATATGAAACGCTGTGATTAACTGTGGTGTATTCCTGCTGAGAGGGGAAGATATCTTTAAGGTTAAACACTGTTGCTACTTCATTTTACAAGTTGGGCAGAGGGAGCTGTCTGTGCTGCAAGGCAGGTAGCCCTGTGCAGTGCCAGGAGGGCGGTCACCTGCAGTGTTTCTGCTGGGCAGGATCCAGGGGGCTGCTGAATCACTGTCCTGCTATTAACTATCAAATGCTATTTAGAGCTAAGAGGTGGTTAAACTTAACAGTTTAACCTTCGGGAGTGTTTGCTCCAATCTCATCTGTAGTAAAACAGACCTTTCCTAATGGGTGTGACTTTCTACATCGTTTTGTGAAGGGTTCTCATGCAAGCATCAGCACACCTGCCCCACACAGGCACACAGTTGAGCCCCATGCACCCACTGTACACATGCCCTGCTGGAGAAGCAGAGAGAGGGAGAAATACCTTCGGCCTTCATGTCACAGCATCTGTGAGCACAACTGGCTAATGGCAAAAATGGCAATGGCTCTGTGGTTATGTCTCCCTTCAGAAACATTATCTATGTCTATTCCACTCAATCTTTTTTTTTTTTTTTTTGCTTCTTTCTCTGGTGAAGCTCAATTTTAAATTTTTGACTCATAACTGCGTATAAGAAGATATAATGTTGATTATCCAGGAGGAGCGGAAGTATGTGGGCTAGCTTCTATGCTTTTCTTTGCTGTTTGACTTTCCTGATGCACACACTTAATTGATAGAATCAGAGCTCACAAATATTTGAAATCTGGATTAAACTAAAGTTGCTGGCACGTAACAATGCAGCTATTGCATAACCAAAGCAATATTATATGCTTTTCTCTTGATTTCAGACTCTACGACAATTTTGAAACAGGAACTTTTGTTCTCTCTAAGAGCACATCTCGAGACTTTGAGGTCCATGTTCGGCAGTGGGACTGTGGAAGTCTTCACTCTGCAGCCTCCTGTAACTGTGGCTTTGTCGCCAAAGAAGGAAGGGATGTCATTGCGTTTGACATGTGCAGTGGTCAGCTGCACGAGTCACAGCCACACTTGTCTGTAATAAGCAGAGACACAACWGGAAACAATGTCAGGATCATTGAGTCCTACCTCGGAAGAAAAGTAACAGTAAGTGGTAAATATTACCTCAGCAAGTAATATTTATCTCTTCAGTTATTTTTGTCAGTTCACATCAATTATAGAACTAAACATGCTTTATTTCTGCTAATTAAGCAATACAGTAAAGCCTATTTTACAGTTACAGTCCTTTGGCCAATGTTTTACACATAGGTGAGGGAGGTTCTGCTTGAAAACCACACTGTGGTTTCTGTGCACAAACACCTTTCTGGAACTGTATGGGCAATCTCAGCATACAATCTTTGCATGTTTTTTGTGGTTTTGAGAATTAATATGTGTTTATTTGGCAGTATTAATTTTCCAAAGTGGGGTCTCTGCAATGTGTGCACAAAGTTTTGATCATGCTCATGTCATATATCCTGTGATACATTACCTGAGKGTGCAGATAACATGACAAATGATATACCTAGAATTAGAGATGTCAGTGGCTTCTCTAGAGAATGTGACCCTCAAATATAATATTCACATTTGTTTTTATAAATTGATGTCACTTTTCATTCATGACTAACATTCCTCTAAGCCTCCAGTGAACCTGAAATGAAGCAGAATGTAAGATAAAACACTCAGCTTCTCTCTAGTCACTCTGTTGTTGGTCTGGAAGGCAAGCCATAAAATCAATATGACTTTAGCTATGGTTTAGCTGTTGGTCTAAGAATGCTTTAAATATTTAGCTTTTATCTGAAGTGGTTCATTTGAAGACTTCAGATATTAAATATCAAGACATCCTTAGGCAACAGAGAGATGAAATTCCTCCCTGTTCTAGGTAAGGGTACAGAAAAACAGAAATATTAAGTGACTTGCTCAGATCTGTGCAGCAGGTCAATAACAGAAACAGCATTTATACTTAGAAGTCATAAAACCTTGTGTCCTCATTTCAGCTATCTCATGGATTCCCATGAATGGTTATTGCTTATTTGTCTGGTGCATGTGCAAGAGTCTCTTTCTTCTTTGGCACCACACTCCAATGAAATTTGTGTTTTATGCAAGGAAAATATGTAGCTGCCTTGTGTTCTTTAATTCCTCAAAAGAGTAAATTAGAAAGGGTTAATTCCAATCATAATTTTAGAATAACATTTCTGCTTGATGAATAAAAATACTGATGGGCATTGCAAAACTTATTATTAACATAATGAATTGGAATACCAAGGCATATTCAAGTGTGTAATCTGCGATTCTATCTGCAGAGAGAATTTTCCTCTTGAAACTTTCTTTAAAGTTGTCTAAAATCATGAATGTTTGAGATTGTTTTAAACAATCCTGAAAATGTAGGGTCAGCTTTGTGGATAGAAAATGACTCCATATATATTCACACAGAGGGAATCATATAGCTCACAAAAGGATAGTTGAGAAAGGTGTCATCAAAGATTCCAGTCGAAATGACCAAAATTTTCCCTTGCCCTGTGCAAAAAATGACAAGTGGCTTCTTTTTGTTTGTTCAGCGGCTCTGTGATTCGTTGTGATTTTTGAGGTCATTGACCATTCACAGAGTATCTGCTAATGAGGAATAAAGTATATTGACCTACACTGCACTGCCCAGCTGCTGGTCATATTAGCTGGGGTGCACATACTAATTGAGATGTACAGGACTTTTCCAAAAGGCTATACAAGACAAGAAATAACTTTTTGTTTCTGATCCGGATTAGTTAGAGTCAGAGTTTAGTGGATTGTTTCTATACACCTGGCCTCAGTCAATTGTTCCTTGCCAACAACCCCCTAATTTTATTACAAGTGTTTCTCATGATGATATCACCCATCTCTTTTTAGGTTTGGTTTTCTTCTGGAGCTTTCGTTCGTGCTGATGTGAGTGAATGGGGAATGAGCATAACGCTTAGGGCACCCAGCTCAGATTACAAAAATACAGTGGGACTCTGTGGCACCTTTGATGGAATTGCAGAGAATGACTATCACACTGCAAGTGGGATGGAAATCCCAAACAGTTCTAATGTTCCTTTTTCTTTTATTAACGAATGGAGGTAACAAAATGCTTCTGTTTCAGTCAAATGTCATCWTTTTTGATTCAGCCTTTCCTTTGCACTTATAACAACCTGTTTAATTATGAAAAATCTTAGTAACTTTTGAAGTTGATGTTAAAATGCCTTTGTTGCTTTCCGTGACTAATTTCTGTAAACTGAAATTGAAGTGCCAAATTAGTATTTAAGTAGTAATTACGACATAAGTTTGAATAAATTTTGAACAAAATACCGAGATATGCAGAAGAGTCACTCAGTGGCTTTGTTATAAGTTGCTCTTGTGGTTTTGTAATTTAGCTGGGGTCCTTAATTTTAGCTGAATGCTGTAGATTTTGTCATCTCTGCTCTAGAAGTGTGAAACAACAAAAAGCCACCGCATTCTCACTAAAACAAAGAAAATAGATAATGCTTTTGAGATGCAGCTTTTTTTTTTTCCTTTTTTTTTTCCTCCCTCCCCTAGAATTTCACCAGGAGAAAGCTTGTTTGATCAGACGCCTGCTTCTTTAACATCATCTACAAAAAGAGCCTTCTGTGACTGCACACTTAAAGATGCTGGACTGCATCAATCACAGAATAAACCAGAGTCAGTTTCTAAATTTCATCTCTCTTGCAGAGAAAGTGGAAATGGTAGATTTCCTTCTTTGATACCAGGGCTGGATGTCACCACTGAGTATCTCAGTCCTATCGATCTTGTCAGAAGCTTAAAGAAACGGTCGCCTGCACATGAAAYGGATGCTTCTTCTCCTCTCCATAAATATGATCGCTCTGATAAACAAGCCAAACTTCACAAAATACTGCTGGTAAACACAAGTTCAGTAGAAAATTCTATGATAGAAAGAGAAGGTACTTCAAGCTCAGGAATTCAAAGAAATCCCCACAATTATAGGACTCATCTTCTCAAAGGCAAATCTGGTACAARCAGAGGGAAGCGGCAAAGTTATTATGGATATCATCCAGTGTTTCCATTCCAAAGTCTTAGCCAAGCAGACCTGGAAGGCTATAGCTATTTTTTTCCAGAGGACCATGCTGCTGGTCAGCACCAAAAGTTTCTTCCTTCCTGGCCCACCCCTTCAGGCCTGACTGAGTCTAATGCTTGGGGACTGTGCCAAGAGGCCCTAGTGAATTCCAGTATAGGGAGATCTTGTGGTGGCCTTCTTGGCAAGCGAGTGGAAGATGCAGTAGATATGTGTGTTAAAGATTTGCTGCTGAAAGATGACCTCAGCTGGGCAGAAGCCTTCTTACCTCTTCTGGAGAATGAATGTGAGAAGAGAGTTTTAGAAGAAATAAATTACAACCAACAGGAATTTCCAAGGTGGGTCGAGGACCTGCTTGCTGCATTAAGATGTCCCAGTCTCTGCAGCGGTAATGGAGGATGTATGGAATGGGGTTGTGCATGTTTTCAAGGCTATAGCTCTTATGACTGCAGCGTTCTGTCTGGTAAGTGAACAAAACAATGAGATTTACTTAAATAGCATTTTTGATGTTTGTGCCCCATAAGTTTATTTTACTGCCTTTCTTTCCTGCTTTGGTACGCTGACAGAAGCTTCCTASAGTGGGGCTGTTTGTTATCCAGCAACTGAGTTCCAATTTAAAATTGTTTCCTATTCAGCCTTCTTGTTTCCCTAGGGCAAAACATAGGCTAAGTTTATAGCATGTCATATTTCTTAAATGTACCACTCAGTACAGTCCCAAGAGGGTACTGTGCTTTCACATTCCTCCCTATCTTCTGCAGGGAAAACCTGCCACTTCTATCCATTCCTTGTTGTTTATGGTCTGAATGGTGCTGTTTATTAACTGCAAATGGAATACTTTTCATTTTGGTGATATTACATATCTGTAAGCAAACTGTTAAACATGGTGGAAATACAGTTGATGGTGAAGGAAAAAGAGCTATAGCAAATATTGAAATATTGCTGGGCAAGTTTTTACAGTAAACAGAAAATGCAGGTAAGCAGACACACTGGGAAAGTATGAGAAAAAGTATTTGGAAAGTCCTTTCAAAACCTTTCAAACAAAATATTTTTGTGTTTATTTTGAAAGGGCATTTTTATTTTAGTGACTTATTTAAAAGCAGGGGCAGAGGCAAAGTGATAATAAACCTTTTAAATTTATAGTGAAATTGTCTTACAAGCATTGCAATAGAATAAAGTTTTCAAATGGTGAAGCAAAAAACTGCATAATATTGTTTTTACAGTTATTTTTAGTTGAATATAGAAATAAACTTTTTTTAACTATAAATGCATATAAATCAGTTAACATAGAACTTTCACTGCTTGATTTCTGCTTCAAAGACCAGGTTCCAGAAATTACCGAGCTGGAGCATGCCGGGCTGTGCGATATTCGGCAGTACGACTGCACATCAGTGAGAGCTTTTGGACATGGCTTCAGGGAGTCATCAAGCCTGAAATGTGAAATTAGCAAATTACAGGTATATGTGTAGTAACATTAAATTTAAGCTCCTCAGAGAGTGAGGAGAACAATGTCTGATTAGCCTCATTTATATGGGCACAGCCCAGTGCTTTAGCAGAAACTGAAAGCAGAGGCATTCCSTGTTTTGCAGCAGCCACTCAAGACTGTGAGATTGCCATTTGCTCTCTGGTAAGAGGAATAAACAACATAATGGGAATGCTCAGGAGCCGAGGGGGAGGCAGCAGCATACAGCAACTCTCCATCATGAAAGGTCAAGGGCATCCCTGATAGTGGCAAAAACTACATTGTTTGCCTTTTATTTAAGTGCTTATAGAGGGGAAGTGAAAAGCCACTTCTTCRAAAAGGGGCAGCAAGGTTAAAGACATTTCTAGATTTCTGTCCCAATATAATGCTTGAAATGACCTTTTTATGAATATCATAAATCTGTTACAACAGAAGGGCATTTTTGATGTGTTGTCAGTATCTCTGGGGTATTTCTCTGGTTTCCCTGGGTATTTAATAGTATTCATCAGGAGATTAAAACTACTGTACTGCAAGCTAATACAGTTTTAAGAGGAACCAGTATAGACAGTGTTGTTATCCAAACCTGGAATTTGCCCAAGACATCTAAGTAATTTAAAGTTTTAGTCTGACATATCCTGCAGGTTTGAAGTTTTTCTTCATCTTGGACATGAAAATTAAAAAAAAAAAAAAAAAAAGCTTCATAGTAAAATGTGGTTTCATTGATGTGATGATAGGGGTGAAGTGAGGCTGGCAAAAGGGGGATATGTTTTATGGGACACTTTTGTTCCTGTAGCAGAAGAGTTTTGCTTAGCGAGTGCCAGCAGAGGCTGMGATGATTTTGACAGATTAAGCAGTGCGAGCTATAGATTTTCCATGAGCACAACATGTATCTACTCATCTGGCGGTGGCTTGAAATGAGAAAGGCTTTGCACTAGAGTGTAAATTTACACTCCTTTAGGTAAAAAGAGTTTTAGACCAAACTCACAGTGAGACAATTATTGGGAGCTCACTTATCACAGTTTGAAATGTCTCACTCTTAACTCAGGGCAAGATTTTCTGATATAATGCTCTCCRTGGTGGTATACTTGGCTCTCAATTACAAAAACTTTCTATTAAACCACTTCTATTGATGAAGTTTCTCACTGTATTTCTCACTGACAAGATCCAGGCTGGAAAATGAAAGCCACTGCTTTTATCTGAAATTCAGGAGGAAGTTGATGAAAGGATCTTTTTTTTCACTCACCCCAGGCTGGACTATTAGTAGCTTTATGAAAATGTCTATGGAGTTGCAGTAGTATAGAACTCCACATAATTTAAGATAAACTTGACAGGTCAATATTTCATAGAAGAGTTATTTTGGCAGACTTCAGAGTTAGTACAAAGTACAAAGTGAATTTCTCATTTTTCATCTTTACCCTTGTGAAAGGCTAAAATAGATCCATTGTCCAGGGGCTGGCCTACTATGMTGGGGAGGATAAGGTTTCATGGATGATGCTAAAAGAGGTAATTTGGGAGAAATCTGTAGTGAAGGACCTCACAGCAGCAGAACTAGTAAATCTATCTTGATAGAGGTTTGGGTAAGACATGGCCAAGGAGCCTATAATTACATGGATACAGAATTGACTTTGATTTTGTATAGGATGAGATTAGATTTAATCCAGAAAAGAAAAAACTTCTGGCAAGATAAACCCTGCTGTTAGAAAACACATGGCTTTAGGATGCATCATATCAGAACTGGGCTTRCATAAAGGTGTCTTGATTTTTTCCTGTAACTGAAACAAGTAATGAGAGACAACTCAATAAAACCTGGTCAAGSTCAAAGTGACTTCTGATCTGACTGTTCTCGAAATCTGCAGTCTGCCTGGATTATTATTTTCATCTAACTTCATTTTCAATAGACTTAAATTCTACTTTCTACTTCCTATATGAAGAACTCAGGTTGCTATTAAGACTTCAGTCATATTATCATCCCTGCTTTTTTGTCTTGAATTCTGAAGATAATCTTTAGATGTCTTGCCTTCCCTACAATTTAGGAGAGAAGTCTACGGGGACAGTGGTGTAATTTATTGGCTTGTACAAGAGTTTAGTGGTTAACAGCCACCTAATTGCTAGATTAGGTAGGCATTGATTGCTGTGCAAATAATAGTAAATTAATATTTCACATAACACTTCAATCCAGAGGCATTAGATGCATTCAAGCACAGTGCAACTCATATTTTATGGGAGATAAAAATATTTTCATATTGCTCTGTAAAACAGACTCTGTCTTAATTTTTAGCATAATGATAGTCACTGGCTTCTTGGAGAACCTCTGATTATGCCGGCTGTCTTCCAAAGTGCAGGGGTTGCCGACTGTCCACTGCCAAGTGATGGCCAACAGTCCCATGTCATGGATCTTGTTGATGATAAACCTCATGCCAGGTGGCAAATAAAGGTACTGTCAGAAATTTCGAGTATTCACTTAAAGATATACCTGTTTAGAGGAAAATTTATTATATCGATATTATCTTTTTTTTTTCCTTTCAGTGGTACTAAGTGTTTCAGTGGTTCAACTTGTATAATGTAGGGTCTCGGGTTCATCACCTGAATGTTAGCATTGAGTGCTGTTTGAGATGGCTCTTCTGCAAGGGTCATGATAGAGATGAAACCTACAGAGACACATGTCCTTCAAGAATAGAAATTAATGGTCAGTTAATGGCTACACCAGAGCATTTGGAATGCTCTCTACACATTTGTGGGGAAATTGAGTTGAATATAGCATACGTGCATGAATCTAAGTGGGGTAGACGACTGAGATCTCGGAGATTGACTCCAAGTCAGYGGAGCCCAGAACGGTATTGAGTTTACCTTAAAATAGACTTCTAGGTCTAGTCAGTCAGATATCTGTCTAGACTTATTGGCAGTATTGACTAGATTTCTGCTAGCTATTTTAAGAGTTTAAACAGCCAAATGTAGATGTTTGAGTTGAATCCCATGCTAGCAGTCTGTTTTGGTGATATGGTGATGCCTATGTGAGCTAATCCATTTCTAATCTACATTTTGCAGATTTCTAACGATGGATTTATTTATAGCAACGCTAAAACAGTGATATTATATGATGGAGCCTGTCAAACATGTGAACCACAGGAATCAGGTTTATGTACATTAAAGGTATATGTTTCCTTACTGTCTGTTWAGTATGCAGGTGGAAAATATCTATAAAAATCAGCAGACTACATCTCCATATGCCAACCCAACTCTTGTTTCTACAAGGGTTTTCCATGCACAAAAAAGATAAGCACAAATGTTAAAGCTGGGCTGAGGTAATTTCAGAAAGAAATTAACCTTCATACAACTACAAAATAAAAATGAACTATTTTTTAGTGGTTTGTTTTTAAAAACAAAGTGTAAGATGAATTAGATTTTATTTGGCACTTTACAGTTGCATGCAGATTTATTGTTTGACAGCAGAAAAAATAATGAATCACATAATTGTTATTTCTCTATAGGAGAAAACATGCAACATAGATGGACTCTGTTATGGTGAAGGTGATACAAATCCAAGCAGCCCTTGTTTACTCTGCAGACCTGACATATCTAAGTTAACTTGGTCAGTTGTTGAAGGTAAGATCTAAGTGGTTCCTTTTTTAATTGCAATAACTTGAAAATCTASTAAGTTTTCAACATGTACGGATGCAGTGAAGTTTTAACTTTGTAGTTAGTTTGTAAGTTGGTGTTGCTTTTCATCTTGTACTTTGAAAGTCCTTTTTTTTCCCTCAAATCAGGCATGTAAAAGTCAGGATTCCCCCCACCCCTCCCACTATGGTACCCTCAAGAGGAACTACCATGAAAAGGATTAACCATCATTTAATTAGCAGTTTGTACTCTTCTCATTTTTGGCAGAACTATGCCCATAAATGTTTGTCTTAAGCTTTTAGGAATGAAAGATATTTCCTGGTGATAAAATAGATGTTCTTAGGCAGGTTGTTCCATTATTTGAATAGATAAATATATTGGATAGGCTAGATACAAATAATTTCATCACAGAATAATAGGAAAATTCAGATTGGAAGGTATCTCAAGAAGCTGTGTAATTCAACCTCCTACTCAAAACAAGGTGGGCTGTGGGGTGAGATATAAGCTGCCACTCTCTTATGCATTGCCCTCATGAGGGGAAAAAACAGTGGATTTAGCTAACTGTGGATCCAAAATTGCAGGGCATTAAGCATAACAAAAATGTGATTTAAAAATTTTATCTTCTCCAGAGATACCTGAAGTACAATGGCAGCATTGTAGCTGCACATGAGTTAACATGCTGGCACGGGTGGCTTTCTGTATTCATCCTGTGCATTGATAGCTGCCTTAAGAGCCTTGCATAAATAAAATAAAATTTTATTATTATTAATAAAAGCAACAGCTGCTAGACCTACTAGTAGTGTTTTATGTTTTTGTTTTGCTGCAAGGATTCTTTGACACCAGACAAGAGAGAAATGCAAGAAACTGTATTATATATCAGGTCATATTTTTTAATAGTTAATATTCAGTTATGATTTGCATTGGTAACACAGATACATGGCCTAAACCAATCTTCCAAGGCAGGACACAAGGAGCAGTGTGAGTGAGTAAGTTGTCATGTGGTTGAATTCTTCCAAGAAACACCAAGTGTGTTATCTCCACCACCATGCTCACTTATGCCAAGACAATCACTGAAACCCAGGCCCCGGTATTACTAAACAATGTTTCTTCCTTTAAAAATTTGACAATCATATCTGGCTTTTATGTATCTACTTTCATCTAAAGGCTACAACTCTGCTTAGCTAAAGTACAGTTTAAATTCAGTAAATTGTGGGTGCTTTCTGTAAACAGATGCAATGCACCTTAACAAGCTCTTAACAAGCTTGGCATAAATAATTTCTTTTTAATTTTGTTACAGCTACAATGAAAATGTTTAGTGTTTTTGCTGTGCCATTCAAATAACATATAATTTGAAAGGAAATAGCTAYATATGACTTGCTTGGTACAAAGACATATTACTTCTTGATTTCTGTAAGTGTATTGCAACTCCTGCTTAAAAGGGAAAATGTTTTCTTTGTTACAGACAACCAACCTCCACTACTTCAAACTTTTCAGGGTACACTACAGACTTTCTATGGAGAAAACTTTGTATATCAATTTTTGGCCTTGGATCCAGAGGGCTCTGCTATTCTTTTTACACTGGAATCTGGTCCTGAGGGTGCCAGTCTTTCCCCATCGGGTCTCCTTTTATGGAAAGTGATGTTAAACAATTCCCATAAATTAACATTTTCTTTGACAGACGACTGCAATGCAGAGACAAAAGTAGAAATAGAGGTAATGAATATTATGGTCAAATGACAAAGGAGTAAGGGTTTTTTTTTGTTTAAATATTTATTTACAAAATTCATGGCTAGTTCGTTTGAAAAAAATAAACAAACAAACAAAAAATAGTCTTTTCTGTTGGGCTTGTCTTCTAGGTCAGTGTAAAATCGTGTGATTGCCTAAATAATGGCTCTTGTGTGACCAATGTTAATTTTCCCCCTGGAAGTGGAAGATACCTTTGTGCATGTGCAGCTGGCTTTGAGGGTGATCTCTGCCAAGTGAATACTGATGAATGTCAACCTAACCAGTGTGGTGCTGGCAGATGTGTCGATGCCATAAACAGCTATTACTGTGAATGTCCACCAGAACTTCAAGGTGATTTAYTACTTTATACATGTAGCAGCAAAAAACCAGTTTCTAATTTTACCTTCCACTGTTTTTTTTTWWAATTTATTGACTGCAAATAGCTTATGAAGATGAAATACTGTGTTTTTCTGATAAAGTTGCATATGACAACATTATAAAATATTGTAAAAATCCATATTTCAATTCAGGTAAAAATTGCCAAGATGATGTAGATGAATGTGAATCCAGACCCTGCTTCCCTGGAGTATCTTGCTTTAATACTTTTGGTTCTTACCATTGTGGTCCTTGCCCAGCTAATCTGCGAGGAGATGGGAAGTCCTGTTATGGTATGATTAAAGCATTCTGAAAAAATATATTTTTTGTAAGAATGTTACTGTGTTATTCTAATTCAGACCTCAATTTTTTTGAAGAGAGTAGAATTTCTGATTCACATTCTGATAAGTATGTAAATAGCAAATAAAGGTTCTAGTTACGCTTATGTTGCTTTAATTTTTCAATTTAGTTCGGTAGAACTTGTTGTTTGTATTGTATTCCTATTTTAAAAAAATGACACCAAAATGTCAATATCTACAAATCCCTTAGTTTAGTCATGGTACAGTGTGATTTACGACATTCTTCCAGTTGCCTTTTGTTTTTGTGACTAACCACTGATAAAAAATAGGTAACATGGGGATAGGGACATCTGTTACATGAGATAAGCAAAAGTTTATGGCATTATCTTGAATGCCATTTTAATGCTTTAACTCAAATAAAGGTGAAGGATATGGCCAATGCAAGCTCTTAATTCCAAAACCCCATAAATATTACTGCTGGCATTTCCAAATCTGTGCCTGCTGGGGCTTCATTCACAGGGAATTCTCCTTGAACATCTTTTCTCATTTATCTCTGAATTGTTAGTATGGGAGGAGGAAAACTCTGTCAACTGCCAGCACTGGATAATTCTTCATCAGCTGCAAGAAGGTTTGCTCCTCAGCAATGGGAGGCATAGCACTTTGTAAGGAGATACAGGAAAGTTTAACCTTTTGTAACCTTACTAAATACCTGCTCCTAGACTTGTTATTGGCACCTGGGCACAGCGTTGCACCACAGCAGTATCTTCAGTGTAAACTCTCTTTCAGTTTACCTGCTTGGTAGCAATATGGTGCCAGCTAGAGCTGGTCATTTGCTCTAGCAGGACAGCTATTCATAGACCTCATGCAGGGAAGGCCCCTGGCTGGCTATCTGGTGGGTATGGTGCCTCCTCCTTGCCTCCCTGCCGTGAAGAAGCAGTGGTGGGGATGGGAAGGGATGGGAAGTTGTTAAGTTGTTCTAACTCTGCCAGCTTGGGAGCCAGTTCTACTATATATATAATTCCTCATGTAGCACATGGAAGAAGAGGCCTCTTGAGGCACAGATGGGTGTGTCAAGTGCATGGATGGGTCATGGGGTTTTGTTTGTTTGTTTGTTTGKTTTTTWCTCCTTCTTCTTATCAGAACACATTCCCCACACTCACAGAAGAAATTCATGTAATATTTTTGTATTTTTCTCCCTTTCTAAGATGTATCTTTTCAACGATGGTTATCTGACAAGGGTTTAAGTGTCTCAAGCTGTGCTCCTTATTCTGCAGATGTTGCCCAGAGACTTATTCCTACAGAAGTGGCCAGTAGCAGAGCTCCACCAGCCTCCACAAAAGCAACAGTCSCTGTCTGGAAGGCATTTAATTCTCAGATTGCTTTGGTGCAACCTGCTGCTCGTGGAAACGTTGGGGGCGCACTCGGCAGCAGTCACCTCGCTAACATGGAGGAGGTCTCCTCAGTAAGCCCTGTGGTGGCGGCGGTGGCAGGGAACCGAACTGTGTCACCTGAGGAGAAGACAAGGACACAAGCTGAGATCCACAGCTATTCTGAGACTAACAGGAGGGCTTCTGTCAGCAATAGAATCACAATAAGCAGAGGGCCACCTTTGCCCAGCAAAGTGCTCAGAGGAGGGAGTGCTCGCAGAGTCCAGCAGCTGTTAGCCAAGCATAAAGCAAGCCCTTTGCCAACTGTTCTGGTCAAAGTCACTGTCCCACCAAAACCAGTACGGGTAACAKCAGGTGAAATAGTGATGCCTAAAGCAGGAACCTGTTTCCATATGCCCTGCTTTCCTGGAGTACCTTGTGAACCAAGTCAGGATGGACGTGTCAAATGTGGCCCTTGTCCTTATGGCTATTATGGAGATGGTATTACTTGCAGAGGTATTACAAATAACTGTTACAAATGCTTTACAGAGAAGAATCTTATGGTATCTTTATAGCTGGAAAGTTATGATGTGGCTGTGTGATGACTGAGATGTATATTGAATTTCCTCATTTTCATTATTAACATTGGTATAACTTTCAGTTGCGTGGATGCACTTAAAAGTAAATTTCTGATGTGCCTCAGCTTCCCTGCTTGAGGGCGGGGACTGAGGCATGTGATGTGTGTATTATGTTAGGCAAGACACTGTTGTGAAATGGCAGTGACACTTTCCTTATTCCTGTCATTGTTTTCTTCATTGCCTTTCAGCAATATGTAGGCAAATATGTGGTAAAAATATGGAGTGTGTGGCCCCCAGTATTTGCAAATGCAAGCCTGGTTACTCTGGTTATAGCTGTCAGACTGGTGAGTATGGCATTTTGATTTTGACCATGATAACTCGTATTAATGTGTTCATCATTTGAACATCACTGTTGATTTTCTGCAGCCCTATGCAAACCTTACTGTAAAAACCATGGGAAGTGCATTAAGCCAAATGTCTGTGAATGTCTAGCGGGATACAGTGGCTCCACCTGTGAGGAAGGTAAATAGGGTTTTGATAGGGTTTGTTCTTGTGGGAGTGGGTTTTTTTTTTTTTTTTTGGTTCTACAGGTACCCTATATACAACTTTTCTGAGAGTTCGTTTTGACATATAATCTTAAATAGGATTATTTTGCGAATGAGGGCATTTCCTATGCTTTTGTCACTTTTTATTCACTGGACACTATTTTACATTTGTCCTTCTCTTTTCCTTTTAATACCTTTCAGCAAAATGAATTACAGTGAATTACCTTTTGCTGTCATGTGCATGCATATGAACCATGACTGGAATCCAGTCCATCCAGCTTCAGTGCCTTGACTTGGGCATTGCTGTTCCCAAACTGKCACATCTTGCTTGTGATCCCTTGAGGATGAGGATAATGTTAYGAGAGGACTTCTTCTGTCTCAAACAGCTCTTTGAACTCTTTATAATTCAGTGAAAAAGACTGTCCACATAATATAAACACGTTCTCTCCATCAACTGTATAGACAACACAAGTTGCCCCATACGGTGAACCAACTTACTTCACTGTAAGTGCAAGAAACAGCAGAGATATCAGGTCTTTTTAAAGTTTCTGATGRAGCGTGATGCTAGTATCAACCTCAGCATTATAGTTATGGCAGCAATATTCCCTTACAAAAAGAGATCTGGATTCTTGGCCCATATGATCTGAGAGGGACAGGTCATCCTCGCCAGTGTCCTCAGCACTATGCACGAGGCTATTTCTAGGCAACAGGATATTCCTGGTAAGAGCACTTACCAGACCTTGTGCTGAAGAAGCTATGCTCTTTTTCCAAGGGGAGAGGTAAGGCAGGAGCAAGTCCCAGCCTATTCCAGTAAGGGGCTGMCACTTGGCAGAGCCTGGGTTCCAGACCCCGCTGCCAGGACTGTCCTTGCAGGATCAGCTGCTCTGCTATGATCTGCTCTAAATTGTGTGATCATCTTAACTGTAATTCTGACCAACATCTGAGCTTTTCCAGTATTTTAGGTGGCCTTAGAGTTTATGTTTCCTTAAAACCGCATTGTAATAAAGGTCCCAATGAGAGATAAGCATATATTTCCCCACCATGTTTCTGATACTGTGTATATGAAGACTAGTCTGGGAAATTTCTGCAGTAAGTAGGGCCAAGTGGGCTTGGGTGCCTGTAAGCTGAAAACCTCTGAAGATTGAAATCCCTCATCAGGAAAGCAGGGAAGAGGAGATCCCTGCTTTGAGAACGGCTCAAGTTTCCACTCTTTGGGGTGACCACCACAGTGAGAGTGTGTGTGGYTGCTGGAACTGCTCTTACTGTTCGTGAGAGAAGCCATTACATACACCTCTTTATTTCCAGTTCTTTGCTTGCATGGTCTTTTTAAAACACTCTCCTTTTGCTAAAGCATCAGCAATCTGTGCCTCTTTCAGAGACAATTTCTTGACAACATCATGCTCTATCTACAGCATATTGTAAACCACCCTGTCAAAATGGAGGCACGTGCCTGGCCAGAAATCGCTGCACCTGCCCGTACGGTTTTGTGGGACCAAGATGTGATACAAGTAAGCAGAAAAGAAAAATAAGAATATAGAATGTCTCTCCTAATCTTCAGATGTAATAAAGCAAAYGATGGCATTTGTCTAATACTCACAAATGAGAAGATGTCCATCTCTCTCTGCAGGCCCAAGAAACAGGGTTAACAAACATTAATCAGATCACATTTCCTCCTGACTTTGAAAATATAGTATACTATAAAAATGCAAGTAGTTGATTATTTATCTTTCAGCAATATGGAGGTATTGTTGAGTATGAGAGTTTACCTTCAGGATAAACACATACATTTAATATGTCATTTTGGGCTCTTTAATTCTGTCATATTGAAATGCATGTTTGCAGTGGTACATTCAGAAGTGATCTCAGTAAACAGCAGGTAAATAGCAGACATAAAGGAAAAATGAATTCAAAATCACGTCTATGAGATCTTTTTCTTGGCCTGGCATGAAAAACAGAAAACTTGTTGTGATCATAACTGAAAAATTGGAGTAGTCTAACATAAATGCTCTTTTTTATGTCTTATTCTAGATGTTGCATTTTAGCAATTTTAGATTTTGAGTAGATTTCATATTGGTAACTCTTTATTATTCTAAGAGGCCAAATGTAAGCATATGGTTTATATCATTAATTCAGATGAATGCATTAATTCAGATTAATGCAATGCAATAATCTGAATTAATGCAATTCAATTAATGCAAAGCAATTAATGCATGTCATTGCATTTAACCCTAAATTGAAAAGGTTAATTCTGAATTCTTAGTTACTCTTATTTTTATTTCAATTGTGATACAAAAAAAAAAAATCTGTTCTTCCTTGGGCAGAACTAAAGATGGAGTCCATCAAATCCATCACGTAATATGAATGTTCCTTTTTTTTTCTTTTCCTTTTTTCTTTTTTTTTTTACTCTTGAACTTAAGCTTTTGCTTTTCTTAGCATATAGTTGAAATTGTCTAGATTCCTAACACCAAGTAAAGCCAAGGATAAAATATGAATCAAAACATGTGCTGTTAGATAGAAAGGGCCTTTCTATACTTCTACAGTCTKTTCCTGTAGCTAGCTTGTTACAACTTTGAGACTGGATTAAGCTCTCCAACAATTCCTCTTCAGCTAGTGATATTGTATGTAATTTCCAGTGTTCGCATCTGGGAAAGATTGGGAATGTGGAATAAATCATACAATTTTAACAAATTAATATTTCTTTTTTTTYCCCCTGACTTCTTGAATGGTAGTGGTTTGCAGCAGGCACTGTGAGAACGGAGGTGAATGCCTGACTCCAGACGTGTGCCGGTGCCGAGCAGGGTGGTTCGGGCCTACGTGCAGTACAGGTAAAGCGGGACAGTTGGCACTGGAGACCCTTGCAGGCCCACGTTGCTGGAGGTTAAAATGTGGAACTGTATGGCTTGGACATGAGCTGCTTGCTGCCGTGGGCCGCCACGAGCTCTTTAATCTCCACGTTAATTCTGCTGCAAGTACTGAGCCCAGAACTGGATAAAAGATAAAGGTGTCAAGTGAATAGTGTCACCTGAAGCTGTCTTAGATGCTTAGTTCCTGTCCTTGCAAGAGAAGCAGATTTTTCATGGATTTGATTTGATTGTCATGGCTTCCCGTTCTTTTCCTCCCACCACTCCTGCAGCGCTATGTGACCCTGTGTGCCTCAATGGAGGTTCCTGTACTAAGCCAGATGTTTGCCTCTGTCCACATGGATTCTTTGGTGCCCAGTGTCAGAATGGTAATATTTTATTTCTCTCTCTCAGCTGCTGTTATGTGGACATAACTGTCTGTGGGAAGACATTATTAGCTTAAGACACAAAATTCAATGTTTAAAAAATTCCCAACCAAACCACATGTGTAAGAGGAAATGCAAAACAAGGGTAACATTTCCCTTTGTTTTCTTTGTTTTCTTCCTTTGTGTTCCTGGTTCGGTAAATGTCCAAGGAGAAAATATACTGGAAATTTGCTTTTTTTTTTTTTTTTTTTTTTTTTCCTTCTGTCTTCCACTCACTCTTGAGCGGCATTCAACCATATTTGCACATTGGTGAGGCTTGTCTGCTCTCCTAGACAGGAATTAGTGGTTAGGTTACTAGTGTCAGTGTGCAGCTACCAATGCAGACACATTCCCATTTGGTTCTATATTTACAACTGATATAGACACCAGTCCACATTAATACAGTTTTTACCAGACAGATGTTCCTGTGCTGACTGTCTCTATAGCAGAACTCTAGTACTCATTGCCCAGAGGTGTGTGGCAAAGGGGAAGCAAATTGCAGGCTACAGGGTGGTTCTCACATTCATTCTATTTCAGCTGTCTGCAGCCCGCCCTGTAAGAACGGTGGTCATTGCATGAGGAACAATGTTTGTACTTGTCCCGCTGGGCACACAGGCAGAAGATGTGAAAAAAGTAAGTGAATATTAATACCCTTCCAGGATGTAGAAGTTCACCACTACATTTTATGTAAATAATGAAATTTCTTTAACAGCAAATGCATTTTGATTTAAGGTGTGTGCGAACCAAGGTGCATGAATGGAGGACGGTGTGTAGGGCCAAATGTTTGCTCTTGTCCTTCAGGATGGAGAGGGAAAAGGTGTAACACACGTAAGTATGTTTTAGTTAAAAGGAGAATTGTACCTTAAAATAATGTTTTATATAGTATATGTGTATATATATATATTAGGTAAAAGCCATGTAAAAACTTAAAAGTTATGAGGTCAGAAAGCCCTCAAAATCTAGAGGCCATTTAGTAACGTAAATAATAAGTAAAAGTAATCACTTGAGATATAACCAAACTTTGTGATGCTCTCTGTGCAGCCATCTGTCTTCAGGAATGTAGGAACGGTGGGGAATGTATTGGACCAAATACGTGTCATTGCACTCCACAGTGGGAAGGAATCTGGTGTCAAACACGTAAGATTGAGGAGACTTTTATAATAAACTTGTTGCTGCAACACAATTACAGATGTAAAGCAATCAAGGATGCAAAACACTTTTCTTGTGTGCCCCACTCCCTTATGTCCTTGGCCTCCCCTGATTTATGTCCTCAGCACGTACCTCTAGAAAATCTGCATCTTGGGGGGCTGGGAAGGAGCAGTGGTGGATAAACATAAGAACCTTGTGGGCTGCACATCACATTAAATTTCCCCTTATATTGAGGACATTGAAAATATCTACCAAGCTTTCGGTTCCCAGGGTRCATGTTTAGAGCTCATACCACAATCAGCCACTTTTCTTTACCACGTTTCTGTGAATGCAGCCACATCTCTCTCTGTCTCCYTAGCTGTGTGCAATCAGAAGTGTCTGTTTGGAGGCCAGTGTGTGTTGCCTAACGTATGCTCTTGTCGTCCTGGTTACACTGGAGTACTCTGCGCGAAGAAGATTCAGGTAATTGTAGTGTCAAGGCACAGACAGACAGGCACTTTGCTAGTCATTGTCTATTCCACCTTTGTTCCAAGAAACAGTACCAAGTATATCAAACATTTATGTCCAATTTTGTCTAGTCTGCTATGCCTAAAAGTTAGTCCAGTCATTGCTCAGCTCTATGACTTAACAAAAACGTTTCTGTTACCTAAGTTCAATTGTTTCTTTTGTTGCATAACCACCTTTACATGGCAACCATTATGCTCTTTTCCAGAGTCTGTTCTGATTCTTTGGGGCAAACTACCCCTTTGCTGACTCTCAGCTTGCATCAGGTCACACTCTGCTCTTACTCAGTTCATCTCTGTTTTGTACCATGTTTCATATTTCCAGGAGTGACACTGGAAATAACCGGGCTTTTTCCCCTTACTAGTGAATGATGACCATTTCTCTGATTTGTCAGAGAAATTATTTCAGTTAAGTATTTAGTTACAACTAATTTTCCTTTATGAAATCTGAAGTGGGTGGTATTCTATTCTAGTCTGCATCATCAATTGCATTGAAATTCATTAAAATCACTTCTTAAACTTTATAGTAAAAATGGGCAGAGACAACAAAGTCTTTACATTTCTTTATTTTCCTTCCAAGGTACAAAGACATCATGGTTGAAGAAAAGCAAGTGTATCAATTTTAGATTACAGTGCTGCATGGATATACAAGACACTTGAACATGGCAAGAGGCAGATGAAGGCAGTTGGAGAATTTATTTTTTTAAAGCCAAATAGATATCCAGAAGCAGCTTTTAAAAATAGTCATATTACAGACCTAAATTTTTTAAGAGCTTCCATACAACATATTTTAGTCATTAAGTGTGTATATTCTCTCCTTTTTTGCTACCTCATGCACAAAAGCCACAGCTGCTGATCCTTCACTGGGCTCACAGGTTTGACCCATGTAGCCAAGCATCTCTTTTATCCCACCTATTTGAACTGATATTTGGAAASACGAGGAAATTCAGTTCTCAAGTCTCTCAGAGAAATCTGTCTAGAAAAGAGGTCCCATGCTAAATGTTGAAATAGGAATTAACAGGAGGAATTTTGCTGTGTATCATGCTATCTGCTTTAGTTCAAATTGGACAAATCACTGTGAACATGTGCTACGCAGATTCTTCCTTCTGTTGCTTCTCGCTCCAAACTGTCGTAAGCAGCTTTGAGGAGCCAGGTTGTTTCTGAAGTCCATGCAAGGACTGTCTTCTTCCCTCATCCTGGAGGTGCAAAAGCCATTTCGGTCCCTGCAGTGACCAGCTCATGCTCCATTAACAGGTGTACACTTCCCTTTGGCTCAGCCACTAAGCCACTTGAGCTCACAGGCCTGGGCTTTTTCTTCCTTT